AGTATGACATATGACAGACTAGAGAGAAAAAAAAGCTTGCACTATATAACAGGCAATGAGTAAATATCCCTAATAAACACAGAGATCCTGCAAACAAATTAAACATATAAGCCAAAAGAAAAATGTGCAAAGGATATTAAGAAGCAAGTCTCAGGAAAAATACAAATAGTTAACATACATGAAAATATAACCCCAGTGATCAGAAAAATGCAAAACAAATCAGTTCTATACTATTTTTCACCTATCAGATGGGCAAAAATTAAAAAGAAAGTCCATCCTTAGCAAGGACATAAGAAAAGCCACTTTCCATGGTGACAATATAAACCTTCTTAGATGTCACTTCAGCAGTGCCCACTCACACTTTTAAAAATATATATCCTTTGACATAACAATTCTCCTAATAGAAAGTTATCCTACATAAATATTTATATGTGTGTGCATCTTATATCTATATCCCTCCTTGAGCATTGTGCAAAGATATTTATTTCAGCATTGTGATGGTTCAGACTAGAGTGACAGGCAAATTAGATGGATACATATGACAGAATATATGACACACTTAGAAGTTCAGTCAACAGGACTTGCTGATGAATTGGATGTTGGGAGGTTGAGAGAAAGACAGGAATGAAGGGTAACCCCAGATTCTTAGTTTGAGCAACTGAATGGATGCTAGTGCCATTTTACTGAGATAGGGGAAGTTGAGGGAAGGGGCTGGGGATGTAAGAGGAATCAGGAGTACTTTTTGGCCATGTTACATTTGAGACATCGAAAAGGCCATTGGATACATGAGGCTGTAGCTTCGAAGAAAGGCTTAGGTGAGAGACATAAATTTCTGAGTGATGAGTGTATATATACATGGTATTTAAAGCCATAGGGCTGGATGAATGCTTCTAGGAAGATTTTGGATGGTGAAAAGTCCATGAACTGAGTCCTGTACCACTCCAATGTTCAAATGTTGGGGAGCTAAATTTAGTAGAATAGGGGGGTCAAGCAGAAGTTTTCTGTACAAATTTGAGTATCAAATAAGTTAACATACATCAAATGGTGAAGAATCACATATTTACCACCACATCAAGGGCCAAATTCCTTGCAAGCCTGTCTTTTAAGGGATTCTAGCCCCTTTTTTCTGAATATTTCAAAGCACATTTAAACAGAACAGTACTTTTATTCTTTTATGTTTCCTATGGTTTCCTCACAGTATAATTCTAACATAAAATTAGTCAAGTACTGCCCTGGCCAGTGTGGCTCAGTTAGTTGGAGCATCATCCTGTGTACCAGAAGGTCACGGATGTGATTTCCCGATCAGGGCACATACCTAGGTTGCAGGTTACATCCCTGGTCAGGGCATATATGGGACACAACCAACTGATCTCTTGA